CAGATCTTTAGAACGAATATTTATAGCATGAACATCGTTTCGAAATGTAATTTTATTATATAGGTACGGAGCAGTTTTTGTCAACACAAGTTTATGAAATAAGCATTGTAAATGAAAACGTCTGGGGTTTGCCATGTTTATTGTATATCTATAAGTTTATGGGAAACATGTTCAAATTTTCTTAAAGCATATACAAAGCCAATACATGAATTTTGTGCGCGTTGAATACGGTTTTTAGAAGTCAGGTAAAGTGGCTTAACACTAAAGTTTCGCATAGCATTTTCTTTGTATTGTAGCCAATATAACTCCTATGAGGATACAGAAGTCCTAAAGCATTGTATGACCGTTGTATAAGTTTACTAACTTGCTCTCTGAACCTAAGTGAACGATAAAGTCCTAAATTTTTGACACTTTCAGATATTGTTATTGGTGAGCCCATTATTTCAAGTTGTATTAAAATTTACAAATTAGAAACAGTACGCTTATGTCCAAATAAAATCGCAGCAGATTTAGCGGGATTCAAAACCAACTGGTGATTTTTAGAAGTATCGTAAATCCTTTGTAGGTCAGTATTAACTTTAACACTGGCTGATTCATAATCCGAAGAATTAAATGAATAATCCAGTTGAATATCATCAGCATACATATGAATAGAACAGTATTTGATAAATTTATCAAACTGGCTGGTATAAATACTAAATAAAACAGGCCTTAAGATAGAACCTTGCGGAACACCAGAAGAAATTTGCCTAGGTTTAGATAATCTGTCCCATAACCTTACAACCTGTGTGCGATCCTGTAAGTATGATTGAATGAGTGAATTCGCTTCGTTTTGAAACCCACATGATTCAAGAATAGATAACAGTACTTGATAGTTAATAGTATCAAAGGCTTTGCTAAATTCTAGTAATACCATCGCAGTATTTTTCCTTTCATCCACAACTTGAATAATGTCGTCGGTGATATGCATTAATGCTGTAGCACAGCTGTATCCTGGTCGAAATCCAGTCTGAACCGATGGAAGAATATAATTAATTTCTAAGAAATTGTGAATTTGATTCTCCATTACTTTTTCAGCAACTTTAGATAGACAGGGTAAAATGCTAATCGGCCTTAAATCCGAGATTTGTTTTGGATAATTATTTTTAGGTATAGGTATCACAACCGCATTTTTTCATAATACAGGAAACCTAGTGTCCAGAAACATACTATTAACTATGTGTACTAGATACTTTAAAACATGGGAACAACACAACTTAATTAGATTTAAACTCAAGGTATCAGCGCCAGGGGATGATTTTTTCAAATTTATCAAGATTTTATGAATATCTGCAGCTGTGACCAAACTAAAATTAAATGAATTCTCACATATTTTATTTTCTTTGTAATATCGAATAATCAGGGGAAACATTTTGATGAGGAATATTATCTAAAAAGGAATTATTGATTTCATCAGGATCTGAAAGGTGATAAGGTAGTACAGGTTTTTTATTTATTACATCAAGTTTTCTTAATTCAGCCCAAAGTAATTTAGAATTTTTATTTCTGGAAATGTAATTGAAATACGATCGTTTTTCTGCACGCTGTTTATAATAGAGCCATTTAGTCCGACAAGGAGATTTTTTAAAAGCAGCCCGTGCCTTATCTCGTTGACTCATTAATAATTTAATATTATCAGTTACCCACGGAGCCTTCCAAACACCACACAGTTATTAAGAATCTCTACTTTACTATCTACAGAATCAAGGTAATATAAATTATCCAGTGGCAAAGCTTGTATATCAGTATAAAACAAATTTTCATCGAAATTTTTGAAGTCCCGAAAAGTATAATATCTCTGAGCAAATGTTGGTTTATCACTGTTAATTTTACAGGAAACAAGTTCTTGATCTGAACTGATGTCCAAACCACCAATTTGAGTTGCTTTAATATTGCTGCTAAACCCTTTGAATGAAATCGGTACTTCTAGATCATAAAATTTTACTGATTTTTTTCTATTCTGTTATTGGATTACCTATGTATTGTGGTTATTTTAAATTATGAAATCCTGTTTGGTATTATAACATTTTATTGTTTCCTTGACGTTTCTTACAGTCAATCAATAACTTAATTCAGTAACGAAACAGGAAAACGCTGTGAAATTTTATGACCTCTCTAAATTTAATGAATCAATCAATTAATTTCTTAATCTGGTTAATCTTAATTCATTGAAGTTTATAAGTATTGGTATAACTGTTTTAGTAGTTCCTAGTATTCTTTTAAATTTTTCAAAGCATTTAACACCCTGTCTAAAAAATAAAGAAAGTATAGACATTTTTAAGAGTTTAGGGCAACCAATTTTTATGAGGAAAGACATTGTCTCTTGTATCATAAATTTACAAATAAAAAAGTTTACTTCAGGACACAATAATTATTTTTGTAGGACACATAGTACATTGACACGGCTTGGTATTTTATTTTGTCAGAAACATACTCCTATTTTAACATTGTTTAGAAGAACTTTTACTTTTTTATGTCTTCAATTGTTTTCTAGACAGTAGCAGTTAAAAATCACTTTCTTAAAATTTTAGGCCTTGACAATATAGAGTTAGAGAAGTGTTTACACGAATTGTTTTCTTCTTATCGACCGTATCTAATGTAGTTTTAAAGGACGAATATAATTTATTTGATTGTTTCTCATATCAATATATTTTTAGTAAACGACATTTCATAATACTATAAAATTAAACAATTAATTTCTAAAAAACAATAAATGCTACTAAGTAAGTATGCTCCACATTCCTTTTGCTGTGGGAAGATGTACGAGGTTTGATAAAAAAGTAACGGGAATTTTCAAACTGCACGTGTTGACGAACGAACCTGTCAATTTTTAGGCAGCTGCCGCATCTAGTCTAAATTTAGCGAGCGAATAAACCTTACTTAAGACTTTTTGGTGATTTTTTGTGTGGCGAAATGTCGGATCAGATAGTTTGCCTGATATTTTGTGTTAAAAACGGAATTAAGTTCAGTAAAGCGTTCGAAATGTTAAAGAAGGCCTTTGGCGACGATACTATGTCACAACCACGAGTTTATCAATGCTACAAGACGAGATCTGGTCAAATATGAAGGTCCTAACCGTTTTGTTCGTCTACAATAGAATCACGAATTTTTACTGCCCGGTCGTATAGTTAACAAGGAGTACCTACTACCTACAAGTTTTGCGCAACTTGAGTGAAGCAGAAAGATAATTCCTGGATTTTGTACAACGACAAAGCACTGGCGCGTACCGCTTTGCTTATTCAACAGTTCTTGGCGTAACACAACACCGCACTATGGGCCAGGAAACTGAAAAAGTGGCAAAATACTAAAAGTGCTCCAATTGCTATAAAATGTGGTGCCCCAAGGTTTTTGGGATCACTGATTTCGAATCCGTACTCAAAGTTTAGAAATTCAAAATGGCAGATCCAATACGATTACTATAAAATTACAAAATCAGAATATTGAAACGCCTGCAGTTGGCCTATAAAATCTGTAGTTTTTTGGGCCTACCACAAGGAGGTTGCAGTGTAATTTCAAACCCCTTAATTACCATATCGGTATTTTTTCAGATTTTTTCAGAGCGTAATTTTTTATTATAATTTAATACCATAAATTATTAGAGAAAAAAAAATTGAAAAATCGGTTTTTTTCTCCTGTAAATCCAAATAAATAGTGGTAATATTTCTTATAATAGTGTTCTGAGTGTTTTTTTATTTGTAATCAGCGATCCGAAAAACCCCCGAGTACTGATTTTCATGAAAACTACAAATTTTTATGAAGTATTGGTCCGCCATATTTGATCAGCCATTTTGAATTTTCCAATTCTGACTTCTAATTCGTAATCAGCGACCCCAAAAATACTTAGATGTCGCATTAAAAAAAAAGATACATCGAGAAATAAAATGTATGGCTCAAAGAGTTTATTTTTCGGATTATGTGAATATTCGCAAAAGTTAGCCAGTTTTTCTTAAAGTACACATATATAATATAAGTAGTGGAGTTTAGGGGAGTTCTGTTTCCAAAGTATGGTCAAAGCATCGAAATTCACTAATATATGAGTATCACGTTCCGCCATTTTCTCTGTTTTTCATTTTTGTACTTTGCCTGTACCCTATTATAATAATTTATCGAAGTAAAATGATGGATGAGATGCAATAGCAGATTTTTGATTTGTTGAAATACAATACTACCAATGAAATAATTGGAAAGTAAAATCGCTGGTTTCATGCATGATTTTATAAGTATAAGTCGTTGCCATATTGATAGTAGTTGGTCAAATTCAATGAAACTTTAAAAATAACTAGTTTAGCTTATCTAGATAACGGCAAGACATTTGTTTGAACTTATCTCCACAGTCACTTTTTGGCCAGTTTTTCAGTTTCCTGGCCCATAGTGTACCGTTGTGATTCGTAACCACCCTGTTCTCTGCACATGACCCATGTGACTTTTTCGTATTTCCCAAACTCAAAAGGATACTCAAAGGACAGCGTTTTCAACAATAGATGGGCTAAAAGCAAAATCGCAAACCGTCCTAGGGACGGTAACTAAAGAGGCGTTTCTCAAACTGGAAACTACGTTGGAATAAGGTGTGTAATATACTTTGAAGGGAATGAGAATTAAATAAATATTTTCTGAGAAAATTAACAATTCCCGTTACTTTTTGATCAAACTTCGTATACATCATGGATGGAAATGGAAAATAATAAATATTACATTACTGAGTAGTTGTAGTAAACCAGGCTCATTGTTTCTTCCAATTAATAAAATCAGTTACTTCTTTATTCTTATGTTCTACCTTATTTTCTTCGGCTGTAGTAACATAAGCGATAAAAAGAACAGCTGCTTTCTTATGCATGAGCACACTCTCTCACAAGATTAAAAAATAATTTCTCACTAAGCAAGAACAGATTATATTCATTTAAGTTTCCTGAAGGCACTTTTTCTCCATCTTTATACAATTTTCTACTAGTATCTTCAGTTATCTAATCCACTGCATCAAAACATATTGTACTGTTGGCCGACTTATAAAATTCCATAGTATTCTGATTAAATTGTATAAGCACCAATTCGTATGTTATAACAGCAGCTGCAATCTGTAATGATTAACTTTTTTATAACGTATGCACTTTGTAAAGAAAATAATTTAGCGGTAAATGAGTGAAACTAAAGAAAAAGTAGGTATGTTTGTTTTAAATAAGGTAAGTTGCCTAAATATGGACACCCTTAAGAAAAAATACTGAAAAATTTAAAAATACACTTATTCAGGAACCAGCGACTGTATATAAATGTTTTTAATGTTTTCTTAAAAAAAAATAGTGGTTTTATCGGTATCTACGTTGAAAGAAACTGGTCAAAGTGTCCTTATAACGAGCATGACTCGTTTATATAAGCACACTATGATCTAATTATCGCTATACTGAAAATTTCTTGATAGTTACAGCGACAGGGTTACAACTTTTTAATTGTCCTATGCAGGTATCTTTCTTATTTTAAAAGTTACAGAGATTGTTAAATGGTCAAAAATGTGCAGAATTTTATGACGATCACGGATTCGTTTTCAAATTTAGAAAAATCTGAATAGTTCCGAAGATATTCGAAGAAAAAAGATTTTAAGCAATTTATTTTTTAGTAGTATTTTACTTTTTTTAAAAATTTAGGACAAAAATGTGTAGTCTGATGTGAAGTATCGATTTTCGCTGTTAGTTTAATCTCTAAAAATGTAGTTAACTTTTGTTTTTTTTTATGGACGCCATATTGAATTTTTGCCTCATTAAAAGGAAGAGGAAATTCTCTTTACAACGATATATAATTTATAGGGTTTTCATTAAGAAATAACCAAAATATTGAATATAATGATAATTTTAATAACAAAAGTTAAATAGTCATGTGAAACATTTGAAATTTTTCTATAAATTAAGTTATTTGTCATTGACGACTGTCATCAAAATAATTGTATAATGAACTGTAGACTTAAGAAATTAGGTTCCGGAAAAGAATTATATTTATTTCCCGTGATATTTTGTACCATATAAATCAAATTTATGTTAATACATTTTGTAAAACCTCTAGCGCATTCTTGCAACTTTTTCCGCTTTTTCCGCGACCCCCTGGAGTCATGACCCACACTTTGGAAACCACTGGACTAAACTTATATAACATTTGTTTCAAAAGAAACACTCCGATCAAATTCGTATACGGAAGTGCCCATATATTGCAAGATACCTTACTATGAAATCAAGTAGATAACATTGTTATGGTGTTGTGCAAGTAATAATTTAAACAATCACAACACAATATATAAATTAAACAAATATTTACATTTGCATTCATAACTACATTTATCTCAGTTATCAATCTTTAGATTGATGTAAAATTGCTATGTATGCGATCAAATACTTGTTATCTGAACACATCCAAACGTTTTAGATGTATATTTACAAACAGAACATATTAATAAATCATCCTGTTTTCATGTAATGATAAGCTGAAGTATCAGGATAAATAATTTGAAAAATTACTCACATTTAATACCGATCCCCTTGTTATAGTGAAAAAATTATGTCCTGTCAGGGCTGATGAATCGTTATGGATTTGTGTTATTAATCTCTGTATCTAAAAGTAATAGTCATTCAATAACAAGTATACTACTTAATTGAAAAAAAATAACATAGGTAGTTCATTGATTGTTTTCACACCGTAAATATTTGCTGGATCAACGAACAACTTTAATTCTTTATACAACCAAGAATGTTTGGGATAATTTAATATTTTGAATTAAATAATAATCAAATATTAAATTAAAATCTATTAGGTAGTATAAAATAATATTCTATACCATGACGAAGGCGCCAGTGTAAATAAACGGTCTAATTGTAAACTTAAGTAACGTTCAGATAAACATTAGTGCAATGACACTGCAGTTGTACTGTTGCATTGTGCTTGTATGGTATAAATATTATCTACTCTGTTTATATAAAATTAGTGTAGTATTTACTGTATTGTATGTTTTGTGGTATTATGTCAGAAATGCCGTTGTCTGATTGGTCCTTGTATTACTGGTGGTTACGGATTGGTAAAATCTAAAACGTTTCTAGATTCTGCCGTACCAACTGCAGGACAACGGCATTACTGTGAAGTTCAACTGAACATTCCTATTGCAATGCATGTTAAGAACTTTTCTACAGTACCAATGCAATCGCACTAATCCTATGTGAATGAAGCTTAACTTACCTCTAAACAATAAAATGAGGAAGGTGCAGAATTTAGAATGGGAAGGAAACGCTTACTCTCTTCATTGACAGAAGCAGCGTATATCGACACTATAATAGTTCTCGTTATAACAAACCCGAAAGAATAGAAGAAATATATTCGCTCAGTATACGGTTCCATTTCTCTGAAAGTAAGAAATTTTAGGATTAGTCACCAAGAAAAAGTTTTAAAAGCAAGTTCTATAACACAATGTCACATCCAAAACTGTATAGGTCATTATCAATTATGCTACTTCTATGTCACTCAGCACCTTGTTACTTTTGGAGTACACCAGGATTCTAATCTGGGTCCTTTTCTATTTTCTTTTTTTTTGTTAACGGCTTTAAGGTTTATCTTAATTATCATAAATTAATCTATGCTGATGACCTAAAGAATGTTACCTACTAGAGAGTAGGTAGAATTAGAATGAATACCTACTACCGCCTGAGTCAATTAAATAAGGGAGATGTGAAGCAAGGGTCCGTTGGAATATTGGAATATTTGATAGATCCTGTACACAAAAAAGTTTTTAAATTCCTTCGCATCATTCGAATGGCATATTTCCCTTATGTAGATGAGGTTGTAAACTTTTATTAACTTTGCCTTATTACATTTAACGAACTTGTGGACTTACCTGGGATGAGGTAAGCTCCATTTTCAATCGAAAGTATTATCTTTGGGATTTGACAGAAACGACTAATAACGTCATCGATTATATTGTTGGCAGAAACATTCCCCGATTTTTTTCATGTTAAAAAGTTATCTTTTTTCTAAAAAACTTTTATTAGAGACATTTTTCTGTATTACTTCCCGTTTAAAAGTTATAAGCAATATCGTCGTAAAGAGTCTCAAAAGAAATAACACCTAAAAATCACATTAACGGTGGAAGGATCAAGTAGTCGTTGGAAAATAATTGATTGTTTGTTGTTTAAAGTGCATAAATGTCATTAAGAATAAATAAAAGGACTAAACTCGATAATTCTTTAATACAGTTAAAACAAAACGTGATTATAACCTTAACTAAACTTAAAAAATGAGATAAACGCTTTCATACTACATACATATTACAATCTATTATATGACATCCTCTCATTTGAAGACCAATCTTCCAATCTTCGCCTGACTTCTTTGTGCGCTGCGTTTATTAACATTTCGCCGTTTAACTCATTACAAGCGTTTGTGATTTTTTTTTCAAATGATTAATAACACAGCCCCACAAAATAAAAAAAGTATCGGATCTGGTATTTTTTCCGCTGAATCCGAATCTGCCTTCAGATTTGGCTCAACGGGTCTGAGTTTTCGGGAAAATTCAAAAAACAGGTCAAAATTCACAAAAAACCTAATTTACGATAGACGAAAGTTATAAAAAATAAAATCAAATTGTTCTACCAGCTCACTAGACGTATGATTTTTCACTCGTTTAATTCTAATTTATTATCATAGAATCAGACAAGCTGGTCCAAATTCATTCAAAAACAAAAAATAGATTAAAAACGCCATTTTCATGGCATAACTCGTGTTGCAGAGTTCTGGATCCATCTTTTTATCCACCCACCCATTTATGAATTTATACATCTTTCTATCCAGTCGTTCATGCATGAATACGCATATTTATTCATCCACCTGTACCACCTATAAAACCCACCACNCAGAAACATTCCCCGATTTTTTTCATGTTAAAAAGTTATCTTTTTTCTGAAAAACTTTTATTAGAGACATTTTTCTGTATTACTTCCCGTTTAAAAGTTATAAGCAATATCGTCGTAAAGAGTCTCAAAAGAAATAACACCTAAAAATCACATTAACGGTGGAAGGATCAAGTAGTCGTTGGAAAATAATTGATTGTTTGTTGTTTAAAGTGCATAAATGTCATTAAGAATAAATAAAAGGACTAAACTCGATAATTCTTTAATACAGTTAAAACAAAACGTGATTATAACCTTAACTAAACTTAAAAAATGAGATAAACGCTTTCATACTACATACATATTACAATCTATTATATGACATCCTCTCATTTCAAGACCAATCTTCCAATCTTCGCCTGACTTCTTTGTGCGATGCGTTTATTAACATTTCGCCGTTTAACTCATTACAAGCGTTTGTGATTTTTTTTTCAAATGATTAATAACACAGCCCCACAAAATAAAAAAAGTATCGGATCTGGTATTCAGACCTATGTATTTCCATGTATTTTTTTCCGCTGAATCCGAATCTGCCTTCAGATTTGGCTCAACGGGTCTGAGTTTTCGGGAAAATTCAAAAAACAGGTCAAAATTCACAAAAAACCTAATTTACGATAGACGAAAGTTATAAAAAATAAAATCAAATTGTTCTACCAGCTCACTAGACGTATGATTTTTCACTCGTTTAATTCTAATTTATTATCATAGAATCAGACAAGCTGGTCCAAATTCAACAAAACAAACAAAAAATAGATTAAAAACGCCATTTTCATGGCATAACTCGTGTTGCAGAGTTCTGGATCCATCTTTTTATCCACCCACCCATTTATGAATTTATACATCTTTCTATCCAGTCGTTCATGCATGAATACGCATATTTATTCATCCACCTGTACCACCTATAAAACCCACCCATCCATCCATCTATCCATCTACTTTTTGTACTGAGAGATGTGATAACAGCCTAGAAGATTGAGAGTGCAATAAAACTTTCTAAACAAAAGAAAACAATATCTACAAATCATTCTTATTTTTGTTGCTATGTGTTCTCTTTTCTTCAAAGGATCTATGCAAAGGTTTACGCTTTCGTTTAGTTCTTCTATTTTTTGCTTATTTTTTTAAAAACCAACAAAAATCGGCCATCATGTTTTCATTCCATATTCCTTGATATCGCTGTTCTATAACTCTCATATCCTGATGAAATCGTTCACTTTGTTCTTCGCCAAGATCCAAGATTTTCAAGAAACCAATCCAGCTGTGAATGAAAGAAGTGCAACTTGTAGTTCATCAAACATCCCAGATCTTGGAAGTCTTTTATCATTTTTTATACAATTTCTTCGTATTTCTATTCTATTCCTTCCTGGTTCCTAAAAAATTTGTCGCTACTGCTTTGAAACTAGTCTTCTCACTCACTCTCTCACTCTTCTCAACGCTACTCGTTGTAGTGATGAATGTTGCATCCTTGAACAATATCCGAATCTGAGGTCCATCGAATACACCTTTCAATTTCGCCTCAGAAATATTCGAAAACAACAAGAGTCCTAAATACGAAGAAATTGTATCGAAAATGATAAAATGACTTCCAAGATCTGGGATGTTTGATGAACTACAAGTTGCACTTCCTTCATTCACATCTGGAATGGTTTCCTAAAAATCTTGGAGATTATAGCGAAGAACAAGGCGAACCATTTCATCAGGATATGAAGGTTATAGAACAGCGATATCAAGGAAGATGGGATGAAAACATGATGGCCGATTTTTGTTGGTTGTTAAAAAGAGAAACGAAAAATGGAGGGACTAAACGAAAGCGTAACTCTTTGCATAGATCAAGGGTCGGCAACTGGCGGACCGCGGTCCAGGCCCAGGACCGCGGAAGGTAAAATACTGGACCGCCAAAAATTTGTTTAAAGTATAAATTACTCAAATAAATTATTTAAAAAATGTATTTTACGTTTAAGTGCCAATCTTATCATTTTTTCTAGTATTTTACAATTGTGTGAGAGTTTTGAGTTCTTAATGGTTAGTAAGCAGATTAAATTTGAGTCGAAATTAAAATAAAAAATAAGAAATGTGAATTTTTTTCTGGACCTCGTTAAAAATTTTCAAAAGTATCCGGACCCCACCTAAAATTACTTGCCGACCCCTGGCATAGATCCTATGAAGAAAAAAGAACACGTTAGCAACAGAAATAAGAATGATTTGTAGATATCGTTTTCTTTTGTTTAGAAAGTAGAGTATTCTACAAGTTTTATTGCATTCTCAGTCTTCTAGGCCTAGGCTGTTATCTCTATCTCTATCTCTCAGTATAAAAAGTAGATGGATAGATGGGTGGATGGGTGGATTTTATAGATGGTACAGGTGGATGATAGAAAGATGTATGAATTCATAAATGGGTGGGTGGATAAAAAGATGGATCCAGAACTCTGCAACACGAACTATGCAATGAAAATGGCGTTTTTAAACTATTTTTTGTTTTTGAATGAAATTGGACCAGCTTGTCTGACTCTTATAATGATAAATTGGAATTAAACGAGTGAAAAATCATACGTCTAGTGAGCTAGTAGAATAATTTGATTTTTTATAACTTTCGTCGATAGTAAATTACGTTTTTTGTGAATTTTCACCTGTTTTTTTAATTTTCCCGAAAACTCAGACCCGTTGGGCCAAATCTGAAGGCAGATTCGGATTCAGCGGAAAAAAATACATGGAAATACATGGGTACGAATACCAGATCCGATACTTTTTTTATTTTGTGGGTCTGTGTAATCTGGCGAAGGTGTTTTGTAAACCTTATATTTTAAAACCCCCATAAAAAAAATTGAGAGGTGTTAGATCTGACGACTTTCCGGGACACTAAATAGGTCCATTAAGCCCAATCCATTTTTCTGGGAAAGTATTATCTAACGTGCTGAAACCATAGGATTCTCCTTAGCTGCAAAGGCACGTTCTCCAGAAGTACAGGAAGTTCTTGTAAGAAATTTAGGTAACTCACGTTGTTCAATGTATGTTCATAAAAATAAGGCCCAATTAAATGTCTACCGATAATGTCGAACCATTTACTCCAAAATGGCCTTGGTTTTGGACTGGATTTACAATGTGAGGATTTTCAATGGACCAGTACTTAGTGTTCGTTACGCCTGTTTGGCAAACCTCCAAAGAACGTGCCGAAAAAGGTTCTGATCAACAGTTTTTACATTTACCACAATTTGAGCTATAAAATTAAGTCTGTTTTCAATGTGACGCTCAGGCAAATACTCCAAATTATGAATTTTGTAGTTATGATACCCATTGGTCTTTAAAATTCGGCTGATCTGTCCAAAGTCATATCCCGGCTAGCCTGCCGTATAGAATTTCGTGGATTTTGTTCGAAATACTTAATACAGTCTAGCTGTATTAACATTGTTTCTTACCCTTCGGTCAATTATTTGATTTTTCCGAACAGAATATGCATCTTCATTTCGTCGCAAAGTCGCTTCCAATATTGTAAAGATTCTATGATCAGGAATGAGGCGCTCTGGATGCCTTTCTCGATATAACTCTACAGCTCTTGTTGAATTTTTTCTTAATGAGAAAACATTTTGTTAGCCCAAAAAAGTTATAGTTTGACGTTCATATTGAGTAATGACAAGTATTTTGTGACATTTATGCAATTTAAACAACGAACATTCAATTATTTTCCAACGACTATTTGATCCTTCCACCGCTAATGTGATTTTTAGGTGGTATTTCTTTTGAGACTCTTTAGGCTGATATTGCTTATAACTTTTAAACGAGAAACAATACAAGAAATGTATCTAATAAAAGTTTATTAGAAAAGAGAGAGCTTTTTAACAGGAAAAAGTTTGGGTGTTTCTGGAAAAAATATAATTGATGACGTCATTAGTCGTTTCTGTCAAATCCCATAGATAGTACTTTCGATTGAAAATGGAGCTTACCTCATCCCATTTAACACTACGTGTCCCAAATGTTATCTAAATTTATTGTATCCTCACATTAGAGATTGGTTTGGCCCTCAATTGAGATTGTAAATTCCTGCAGATATCACACAGAAAATTATATGTATATTTTTACAGCTGAAGGTAAACAAAAATTTTACGTGCTCTCGATTCAGAACCAAATACTTTGTACTAAGTTGCAACAGTAAAATATTTCTTACAAAATATTTTAAAACTTTAAATTATTGTTACCCGCTATTGGATCAACGTTCACTTGAAGTTGTTAAGATTTAAATATCCAGCATATTATTTATGTACTTTATGTTGGTAGCCGTATACAGGGTGTTTGAAAAAGGTGTTGCCAAACTTGAGGGGGGTATAGCAGGGATTGCGGTAGAAAATTTTTGCATATAAACCCCTTGTCGGAAATGAGCCGCTTTGGCCCTGAAGCAATTTTTGTTCAAAAACGTAATGTTATCTCACTGACCCCAAAAGATTTTGATATTTAAGTAATTTTTATTAAGGATAACTCAAAAAATAATTTGAAACAAAATAAACACATTTATCTCTTCTGATAAGTGTTTACCAACAAATGATATTGGTAAAAATTGATTTTGTCCACAACTGTGTAATAAAAGCTCTATTGCACACATCTAATCTAGTAATGCAATGCCATCTGTGTCACTCTGTGAGGAATAATGAAACAAATGAACAGAGTTGTCACGCAATAAGTGATCGGATCTAATTGAGTGTTTCACATTTGTTTTGTTTGGACGAAATTTTGCTTCCAAGTTGTTGAAATTGAACAATTTACGTTCGAACAGTATGCAGACGTATTTTATTTATGGCGAAACAAGATTCAACGCTAGATAAACTGAGCGCTTTCTAAATCGCCGACATCCTTGCCGAACAACATTTTCGTCAATCCATTGCCGGCAACTTTAAGCCAGATGTAGGGAGTTGACAACCACGAACAGCACGGACAGTGACCATTGAGGAGTATCGAACTAAAGAACAACCTAATACAAGCCTTTTTAAACAATTATTAAAAATTTTTGCGTTATCCTTAATAAAAATTACTTAAATATCGAAGTCTTTTGGGGTGAACGTAATAACATTACTTTTTTGGACTAAAATTGCTCCAGGACCAAAACGGTTCATTTCCGACTAGGGATTTATATACAGGGTGTCCCAGAATATGTGGGCAATCTCTCAGATTTATACAGGGGATGTTAAAATAACATGACAAGTTCCTATAAAAAATTTTCCCAGAGGGCCTCCCTACGAAGAACAGATTACCCCTGAAAATCAATTTTTTTTAATAACTTTTAATATATTTTGTGTAATTTAATTATTTTTTAATACGATTGATAACAGATAAGACTCCTGAAGAATTGACCCATGAAAACAATTTGGCTTATTTGGTTTGCCAGGGACGGACTGGCCGTAGCACAATAATGTCAATTTTTTTACACCCTTTACGATAAAGACAAAAAAATAATATTTTTAGATAGCTGGAACCTTAAACTAAAAAAAGGCACTCTTGGTTGATATCGATAAAATGAACTGTTTTCGAGAGTTTTGTTTAATATTATTTCTATTACATCCGTAAAGAAAAATAAGCCGATCAAATTTGCATTCTTTCTGTGCCTATCCAAAAAATGACACTTTTATTTACACTTGTTTTTTCCTTTATTTTTTGTTGCTATGGTTGTTTGTTTGACATTTACCGATTTAAATAAGAATTACAGTACCTATCTGAGTCTGTCAGTTAACGATAGAGTGTGTCGAAACTCATAATATTTTTCTTATTTTTTTATTTCACGGATTTGTTTTAATTGACGTAATGGAATTTACGTTTGCTGAATATGCCGACATGCATTTATTGTATGGACATGCAGCATGTAATGCCTTAGAAGCCCAAGGCTTCTTCCAAATCGAAGAATTCCTGATAGGAAAACTTTTGCATTAGCGTACTTTTTGAGGAGGTAATAATATGTAGAATTAAAATGCTGTGAATAATTTTAGGAACGTTTGCCGAAGCCAAACACAATTGTGGAAATCAAATTAATCGCGGTGAGGTTGCCGAAGAAGATATCTTAAATGCCGTAGAAGCAGATCCTTCAAAAGGATAGGATAGGAAAAGGAGGACTAGTAGCTTGGCCTTCTCGATCACCAGATTTAAATCCATTAGAATTTTTTATGAGGATATTTAAAAACTTTAGTCTATGCCAATCCAGTCGACACTAGGGAAAACTTATTAGAAAGGATTAAGGAGCAATAAAAATCATATTAAACAAAAATAGTTTTTTCTCGAAAACAGTTCATTTTATCGATATCAACCAAGAGTGCCTTTTTTAAGTTTAAGAGTCAAACTACCTAAAAATATTATGTTTGTGTCTTCATTCTAAAGGGCGTAAATAAATTGACATTTTGCAACAGCTAGTCCGTCCCTGGCAAATCAAATAAGCCAAATTGATTTCATGGGTCAATTCTTAAGGAGTCTTATCTGTTAATCCATCGTATTAAAAAATAGTTAAATTACACAAAGTATTTTAAAAGTTATTAAAAAAAAATTGACTTTCAGGGGCATCCTTTAGGGGCGTGTATCTCCGTAGGGGGGCCCCTCTAGGGAAAATTTTTATAGGAACTTGTCATGTTATTTTAACGATCCCTGCATAAATCCGAGATTGCCCACATATTCTAGGCCACCCTATACAACAATTTTCTTCCGCAATGTCGTCTATAACCGCCTCAAGTTTGGCTACACCTTTTTGAAACATCCTGTATGGAAAGGATGCCTAAAGAACAATGAAATATGCTGTGTGGTTGACTAATGAAAATATCATGTACGTAGTGTTTGAAATTTTCTACTATTTCAAGGCAAATAAGTATGAATGAAAGAAACAATAGATTTATTTTCGTATACTCACCGGATACTATTGAATAACTGAATTAATATAAAATACAAATTAAAAGCGTAGCATAGTACTATCAAATTCGACAGCAAGCGATTTAGCTTTTTAATGATTAAGGCCAACTTATTATAATCTTCCCTAATTTCACCAAAGAATGCATTGTTTCCTTTCTAAAATAAACAAATATACATCTTGAAATATTAAACAAATCTGTTGTTAAGGAATACTTACCTTTAATATGCAATTATGTTTTGAACAACGAGAAAATGCAATATCCTGTGTTGATAAATAGAGTTGTAGGGTATCTGAAATCTGTCTAAATCTGGCGGCCATAATTATACTTAGATATACAATAAATATGTCACCAAAGTTCCATATTATCAGATTTAACCAGCATATTATCTATTTAATTTGAAATAGGAATACATACAGTTAATGTCGAGAGATCCAGAATGATTGAGCGTTTGGGGAACGCAGCCTGTTTCTAACACCATTTTTAGCATATAAAAATCTGTAGTATTAACAGAGACAGGCACAGGCTGCGATCTCCAAACACTTCAATCATTCTGGATCTCTCTGTATTATTATTGCTTGATCTTACCAAACTGAAGATACCAAGCACATGATGATATGGAATGAAATAAAATATGTGGTGAAAGTGTTTTTTGAAAAACTGTTCCCATCCATGGGCGTTGCTTTCACATTTGTACGAAAATATGAAGTTCAATGTGGCCAGACATTGTTCACCTGGAACATTATTGGAGATTAAGAATTAAGGTCAGTAAGTATTCTTTACTAGTTGAGGATATGTTTGTCTGAAACCAGGAAGACACTTAAGTGACCGCAGTGCTTATGACGTTTTTTGCACGTTCAAGTATTGAACAAGTCGTACATGAAGAAGATTTCGCTTTGGTTACTATGAGATCGAATATTTATTGCCATCAGAAATTTCTCCAATATAATATTTTTACCACAACCTAAGCTTCTTGTAAGTTATAATTCAAGAAAGTGACGATTCAGATATAGAAAATGGTTGGCAAGTAGGATGCTCACCCATAATTCCCGAGGAGTCCAAAGAGAAATATGAAAAAATCTTCAAGCAATTTGCAGCGTGTGTAACAAGAAATATTTTGAAAATGTCACAAAAAGGTAATGCTATAAGTCTCTTGTTTCAAGAAATGAAACCCTACAGTCTCCAGGAAGCTTACGAGCTGAATACTCTATGCTAAAAGCCACAATATTTTTGCATAAAGCTTTTAATATTTCAAAGTGTGCTGCGTTAATTCCTTTTCTTAAGAGGAAAAATATTGGACATAAAGTGAAAAAATCAAGAATCTTTACCAGAGAAGACATGTACAAGCTAAATAATTTTTCTAATGAAGTCCTTTTAAATATAAAAGTATTAATAATGGAATAGCAGGGACGTGCAGATCGGAAGAACTATATAATATGAAAATAAATGACATTGAAGATGCGTTTATAATAGTAAATAGTCGCGAAGAAATATCTAACACAACGACTAAAACAGGCAAAGTCAGCTCACTTATTCTTGGCAATGCGAGATGGAAAGGGCACGAACCGATAGTTGGTAGAAATACCATAGGAAGTTGGCCCAGTACTTCAAATAGCCGGAACCCTCAACTGATATCGGACACGTATTCCGAAAGAGTTCTGCCACTATTCTGGCAAACCAAGGAATAGATATTTTAGGCCTTAAATGGTACGATGGGTGGCGCTCGTCCTGTATAGCTGAGTGATATATCGAAAACTGTGTGGAAAATAAAAATAAATTTTCAAACAAGATTCTAGATGGAAATTCTCGAGGAAATTCTACGATGACAGAAAATAATAATGCAGCCTGGAGTGTTATTACAAAATGTGCAGCAAAGAACGTTCATCAAAAAAGAACATTGTTTTAAACCCGAATTATATTGCTCCAATAAATTTTAATAAATGTTCAAATTGGAATTTTAATTTTGTCTAAAAAAAATTTTCTGTTATGTAAATGTATTAAATTACCGACAATTTAAGGTACCTAAGGTAATATTTCACCCATTTATTAACTGTAAAATGAAGGTCGAACTTAGAAAAATCAGTTTTTGAAAACTGCGCATTAATATTGCAGAAAGCGATGGATTTTAATGAAATTAATGGAAAAAAACGATCAATCCAATGACCAATATGTGTGCCAAAAGTCGATTCGATTCACCGTGAAATTGGTGCTTTGTTGTTTGTTAATTAATTTCGTTGTTTAATTACTAAACGTTAATTTTGTTAGAAGTTAATATCGTAGATACAGGTTCTAATTGATCCAAAGAAACGTGTTGAAAAAGAAAAATTTAAAAAAGTTAAAATTCAGTGTCTCTTTACAACTAACAAAGTAGGAAGTGCAAAACAGCGTAATAAACAAATTGTCCCAGGGTGAGGCAAAAGCCGCTCGGGAATTCGCTCTTTTTGCATTAAATGAGGCTTATTCTTACGGTAATTTAAAAAAAAAAAGAAACGTTCAAGTCAAGTGTTAGCTGTTTCGGAATTATTACGAAATTTCAAATTTCATTTTAAGATTTTGCAGGACCGTACTTCTGTAAATAGGCCCAAGTGACCAAAATTTTATCATGAAAATTTAAATAATTTTCCATGATTATTACTGCAGTGTGCTTTGCGTCATACAATTAAGGACCGAAAAAAATAATAATACAGTTCAATGTATGAAAGTGCGGTAGCTAAGGAGCTATTTTTTTAATAAAAAATCGTATATGTTTTTATATATTTAGAATTATAGATGGCCCCTCAAATTTTGTTAAAAACATGGTGCCTAATTCCTCTGTAAATATATAGCCGATCTACGCTCTTACGTCCGTAGGAATCGAACACGCGACAGTGGCATGCATCGATTTAAGTACTGAAGCTCCGAACCGCTGGACCACCAACCCGATTAGATACCAAGATTAGGTAAAAATACCAAGGTATTCCTAAAGCTTCGTTGCTTATTAAAATCCGTTATAATGTTTTCGATCTTTTTTAAATATGACCGGTTCTACTCAACCCCCCCCCCCTGCATAAACTAATGATTTTGACAAAATAAGATTTGCAGATTGGTTACTTCAATACACTAGAGAATTTATTGCATTACTTACATATCCCAAACAAATACAATGCAATGGCCGTCTTTCGGAGTTTTCCTTTTAAATTAATAGCGTTGTTATACTTTATTAGTAATTCTTCCTCGATTTTGCAGAGCATCTGAATGAAAATAGCCCAATTTCTCGCAATCTGTATGAATGCAATAATTGTCAATGAAGTACAACAGTAATATAAAGGTATAACTGGAACATAAATATTTTCTGTTGGAAGTTATATACTTTATATTTATAAAATCGATTTACGTACTTAATTGACTGATGACGCTGCCGTAGCTAAGTGCCTTGATTAAAGCCATCAGACCGCAAAATAATGATAATAACCATAGAACTGCACAGTATAGTATTTTCCAAGATACCCATTTGAATCTTATTCCATCAGGAATGGGATTTCTTATGTTATTTATAGGAAAGAGTCCACATAGCTGAGCTACCAATAAGATATCTTTAAGCAAGACATGGGAATTTTCGGTGTTCCTCTTTTCCATAATTTCTTTAATGGCGTGGGACCTAAAACTAACCAATAAATTTCAATTTTGTACAGGAACCAGCTTTCCTCAACATAATTTTAATTTGTGTTATATAACATATATTTAACTGACCCCTGAGGTGCTAAACCAATATATGTATTTGTTATTGTACTGTATAGTAATTATAATACGAGAAAATAGTTATTGAGTTTTCAATTACATCTTTGTTTAACTACATCATATTTGTCCCAAAAGTGTCTGGCACTTATTAGAAGTAATTTGAAAAAGCTGTGATATCACGCAATTCCTTATATTTATTTTTAGTATGTAATACAAATATTATTACTACTGTATATTGGAACCTCACTAGTCAAAACTTATTTTCTATCACTCATTTCAATTACTTACATTTTGATCGATTAATAACATATGTAAACTCACCTCCATTCTTTGGACTTTGATGGACAGTTAAGTGGTTCACAAATATTTTTACAGCGTTTGTATTTGCTATATCAACGAGGAACGAAAAATTAATTTGCCCCAATTTAAATTAATTCCGTAGCAGGGAGTGTAAATATAATAATGTTTACAATAGGACTTCAAAAAGTGATTTATTCCTTTGATTCATATAAAATGCAATATATAGAAAATGTAAATAAACAAAACAATTTAAAATACATTATGTTAACGCAAATGTTAATTGTATAATTAAATATTTTAATTTTTATTATTCATTAATTAAAAGACGGTGAAAATTGTCTTAGATATGTTAGTATTTAGAAAATAATATTGGAAGGAATAATAGACTAGGCGGTATCTGTTTTGGTTTGGGTGAATCGTATATCCACGGAGATTTTTGGCTTTTTGGCTTTCAAATATCACTAGAAATGAAAATTTTTCTATGCGCATAAAAAAAACGTGGGCTTAACTTTTGGCGGCACAATATGTTAAAAAAATTCGAAAAATGTCATATTTTTCTTCCTATTTAATTATGTATCTTTTCAAGAGTTGATTTTAGGCGAAAATGGAAGAGGAAAAAAATGTTTGTAATTAAATTTTTTACAAAACATGACTAGTTACAAATCGAATGAATCATGATTATTATGGTAAAAATCGAAAAAATCGCAAAAATGGGGTTAAAAAACAATACTTTTTAGGGAATTTTTTTGGGGTATTTAAATTGGGTATAGGACCTTTATACTTGGCTCAAGAAAACTTCATGTTATGTAGAATCATCACACCAAATTTCATCAAAATCGGTTCGATAGATTTTGCTTAATAATTTTGCAATCCAGATTTTGAAAAAAAATTTGCAAATTTTAAAAATTTTGCACAGCAAAAACCAAGGCCCTTAGATACTTGAAAATTTAATCACATATAGAAGGGCTCTCAAGCTTTCAAACTTTTTTTGAAAAATTCGAATCCGTCAATTAGGATAGAGTTTAAACAAGCACCAGATTGTTTAAACATTGGTCGAATTTTTGTACTTATAAACAATTAGAATAACTTTGTGAATATTCAATCTAATCAAATTTTTTAAAGCAGGTTTTAAAAGTTCTTGGAAAGACGCTTCTTTAAAAAAAAAACAGATCGATTGGTCAATTAGTTACGTGCCAGATTTCTGCAGTAGCTACTAAAACGATATATTTTTAAATGGCAACACCGGAAAAAAATATTTGTAAATTTTTCTTAATCAAGTTTTTCCTACAACTTTGCATTTGGAAGTACTAGTCTATTACTTCAAATAAAAAAGTTGCATATGTGGTAAAAGTGGCATATGTCAGGTTTTAAAAAAATAACACTGTATATACAGGTTGTAGAGATTCTTCTCCTAACGGTATATACGTGTATCTATTATTTTTCAAGATCGTATTTTTCGAATACGAAATAGTATATTGAAATGAAAGAACGATTCTTTCTTTAATATTACTTTTTTTTGTAATTAAAGTATAATTCAAATATTGTTTATAGTTTAAAATATAAGCAATAGAAAAATAAAGTTGATAAATAAAGGAAGTTTAAAGATAAATAATTATCGGGCTGTTGAAAGACCAATAATTATTAACGATAGGCATTTGAAAATACGCTAAAATTCAAAAAATCATTAAAATAAATCGGACCTCTAGAAGGTGAGATATTAAAAATTTTTAAGCGCATCGCGGTTTTGAACTCGCCGATTTCGAGCAGGCCGAAACGGTCGCGCTCTCTGCTTCCCCCACCATCACCACCCCTACGATTTTATTGAATTTCTCGCTTGCATAAATAACTTTAAACGCGTTTTAAAGTAGGTTGCCAATGAAGAAAATTATTGAATTCTTAGACCTGGTAAGTACTCGGAATACCAAAGGTATTTTTCGAAAAATTAGCCAGGATGTCCCAGTATATTTAGTGTAAATGACGGCTATAACTATGTAACTAATTGATCAATCGATCTGTTTTTTTTTTAAGAAGCGTCTGTCCAAGAACTTTTAAAACCTGCTTTAAAAAATTTGATTTGATTGAATATTCACAAAGTTCTAATTGTTTATAAGTACAAAAATTCGACCAATGTTTAAACAAGGGCCAGAGCTCTTCTAATACACGGATTCGGAATTTTTCAAAAAAAGTTTGAAAGCTTGAGAGCCCTTCTATATGTGATTAAATTTTCAAGTATGTAAGGGCCTTGGTTTTTGCTGTGCAAAATTTTGAAAATTTACAATTATTTTTTCAAAATCCGGATTGCAAAATTATTATGCAAAATCTATCGAACCGATTTTGATGAAATTTGGTGTGATGATTCTACATAATATGAAGTTTTCTTGAGCCAAGTATAAAGGTCCTATACCCAATTCAAATACCCCAAAAAAATTCCCAAAAAAGTATTGTTTTTAAACCCCATTTTTGCGATTTTTTCGATTTTTACCACAATAATCATGATTTATTCGATTTGAACTAGTCATGTTTTGTAAAAAATTTAATTACAAACATTTTTTCCCTTTCCATTTTCGCCTAAAATCAACTCTTGAATAGATACATAATTAAAAAGGAAGAAAAATATGACATTTTTCGAATTTTTTTATCATATTGTGCCGCCAAAAGTTAAGCCCACGTTTTTTTATGCGCAGAGAATATGGCTTTTTGAAACATATACCGTCTGGACTATAAGTATAAAAATACTAAAGAGTTCACCGGTAGCGCATACTATGTACTTCGATATACAGGGTGTTTCAAAACTTGTTGAAAATTGAAGGGTGTGATTCTTTGGCTTATTCTAAGAAAAAAGTTCTTATTAACATGAGTCCGCAAACGCGCCGTCTTCGAGATATACAGGGTGTACAAAGGTGACGAGACATTAAACATATTTCAGACTACTTCGACTTTAATTTTGAAAATTTGGGCAATAATGTTTTCGGGCATGCCCTTCACAACTAAAATAATGGCATCCACCTAACGCGTCCGGTTATACCGGAAGATGATGTCGTCTTCGTTATTTTAATTGGAACACCCTGTATATTATTGCAATCTTGGATTCTATGTCAATTTGTAGGTGAATGAAAAGGTTTCATATTCTTAAAGTTAACCGTTTTTGATACACATATTTAAATTTTTTCAAAAAAAAAATTAAAAAAGCACTGCCTAATTCAAAAAGATGTGTATTTTACAATAATAAAGTTAGGGCGTTCAAATTTATAGAGGACATAACTAAAACCCTAAGCTTCCCTAATTTAAGGCCGAATTTAGTCAAATTGAAACCATCTTAACTTATTTTTTTTAAATACACCCTGTATATTTTTACGCAACCTGTTGAACAATTTTGTTCTCTTTTGAATGGTATGATAGTTCCCTATACCTATCTCTTCTGGTTTTTAAGGTACTTACTGTTTTTCGTACAGTCAACGGATATCTCATAATTTCTTGCGAGGATGGCTTTGAAATTTTTAGCGGAATTTCAAAACACGCACCTAATCTGTCACCAGTTTATTGTTGTCAATTTAACACATACAGTGAATGTTTATTTGAGTATTACTTATTGTTAAACAATGGAAAACGTTAACATTTAATCAAATGCTGACATTCTAAATTTATTATTTATTCACGAAGAGTGTCACAAGATAATAAATGCGACTTGCAGGGTATTTAATGAGAGATATCCTCATTTACCACCAATGAGTAGACACAATTTACGAAGAATTTTAAGAAATCAATTAGAACATGGTCGAATTTCTGCACATAGAATTTTGCCAAAGCCAATAACTTTAGATAGAGGTAATATCCTCAATGTTCTGACATATTTTCATGCTTACACTGAATCATCAGTTCGTGCTGTTGAATTTAGACATTTCAAAAACCTCCATCTAAAAGATTTTCGGAACTAATTGTCAGCATCCATTTAAATTCAATTTTGTACCTGCACTGAAACAGAAATATGTCTAACGTCTCGTCACCGTGAGACACCCTGTAGAATGTCAAATAAAATATTTTTTTTTCAGTTTTTTGACGATATCTCAGGAATTCAGATATGTTGGAAGCCATTAGCATTACCATGTTCTCCATCATAAAACACCATTTATCTTGAAAACAGTATGCATTAGAGCTTTTGATGATGAGTACCTACGTTGCCTATGTAGAAAACATTGGCGGTTTAAAATATGCTTTCAAAATGCCTATTTTTCCAGAGTCATAAAAACTAGGGTCAAAAGGACATCAAGCAATCCTAAAATTTCCGCCACTGACATGAATCAAAACTGAATTAGCGTTCAAAAGTAGCTAATATTAATAATAATACGTGTACAAAATTGGGTTCTGCATATCAAACGGTTCAAGAGATATCCTCAGAAAACTGGAAAAAAAAAATTTTGTCACCCTATATCTCAAAAACGGTGCGTTTGCGGACCCATGTTAGTAAGAACTTTTTTCTCTTAGAATGAGCCAAACAATCACTAATATTTGTAAAGCTAATAATTACTGTCGTTTAAAAGATCAATGTCTACTGCTATTAAATTTATATTGGTATGAGAGGTATAAAAATGTCTATAGCTGACAATTTAAACTAAAATAAAATAAAAGAAGAAATATTTTGAAGAATACACTTTATTTACTTTTATCTATAATGTAATACATAATATAATGTATATTTTTTTCTTATTAAATCATGTCATGTCTGAACATTATATAACGTTATTCAGTTGTATTCAGTCCAGTAGCAGCGTTGAACTGTATTAAAACTAATTCATAAGTTACTACAGCTCCAGCAATCTAAAAAAGAATTAATAGAACAGTTATTTTTCGTTGTCTGTTGACATTATTTAAAAATCTTTATTACAAAAGAAAAACTGTTTATCAAAAATCTGTAACGCGTTCATAACAAAATAAATATCGAACAAAATTATTGGATTTCCTTGTTATTAAACGTTCATTAGAGTTGTCAATAAGTGTAACTGACATCAATGATAAACGACATTTCTATAGCTTGTGCGCAAAACTTAACATATTCGTACTTTCTTACCGAAAGTTTATAATGTCCAAATAATTTTTTTAAGATAAAACCCAAACAAGATTATAATGTTGATAATACTTTGGTAATACGTTTGAGGGTTGCTTTCGCTGTACAGCAAAATAAAACGCTCTCTCAACGGTAAAAATAAAGTAATTTTATTAAAAACTAAATTCGTGAAAAAAGACGTGTTGTCGGTTCTAGTGTTTGCTGGAAAGTCTTCTTGGCGTGGAGTCGCTCGCATAAGTACCTGGTCCTTGACGCCAATGTGCCGGGGTCATCTTCCGGAAACGCTGGTGCGTCCGGGCGGCGTCAGGCTGGCGCTCTTGATGCAACACTCAAAATGGGTCACTTGGGGCATGTGTACCCACAAGTTGATTTCATTCCATATGCTTACTATGGAAAATTTATCGTTCCTATTTCTTGTGTTTAATATAAATTATTTTATAATTTCACGAAAATCAGTTACAGTGTATTTGTTAAGTTTTGCGCGCAAGCTAAAAAATTTACAAGAGAGATTTAGATTATAATAATACGTTAGTCTTTTAATATTAAATAAAATGGATTCTTACGCTAAGAATGATTCCCCTGGTAACTTTAAACATTCTGCAGCCGGTTAATGCAACATTATCAAAACTTATTTGCGTTAGAAGTCGTCGAATCTAAAAAAATCAAATTTACGATTTCCCAAAAAACTTGATAGAATAATATATAATAAAAATTACAGTCCATACCGACTGCGATCCGCTAGACATAAATTTCCCTCCTGTTTTTTTTCAAAAATAGTTTTAAACTGAAATATGTAGAAAAGTCCTGAATCAAACGGTAACATATTATATATTTTTAAAAAGAGAAACATTTAACGAAACTAAGTAAGCACTAATATATAGTGTGTTCCATTTAATTTTTTTTCTTTAATTTAATGATTTCTATTATTCAGTTGTTTTTTCTAATACTGTATTATAAAAATTCGTAAAAAAGCTAGAACTTTTGTATTAAAAACTTTTTGTAATTTCAATAATAAACTCACAATTTAATTATTTTTCTCTCTATATTTCACATACCTCTATATTATATGAGGAGGCAGGTACAGAATTTAGAATACTGGCAGGACCAACACTTTCATCGTTTATCCAAGCAGCATATAGAGAAACAGACACAATTTTTATGATTAGATACATGAAAGAATATACAAAATATACTTGTCCACTAACATCCGCAAAACCCCTAGAAAAAAATTTTTTACAAATGATTAATGATGCAGTTAAGCTAAACTTGTTTTAAACGTAATAGTATATTACGTAATAAGTGTTGTAAAAAGCATTTTACGCACGAATGGAAAAGTTACGCACGACGCCGCGTAGCGTATGTGTGCGTAATTGCATTACACCACGTATTACGTACTATACTTTACCTACGACCACTACTTTAAATACTTAAAAACATACCGTCTGCGATCAATGCAAGATTCCTATTACGTCGTACGGTAAAAAAATCACACAGCTTGGTAAAAAAATCGTACAGTTTTCCTAGTAACCGCCTAGCAACGGTCAATACAAACAGTATTGTATTGGCCGTTGCTAGGCAGTTGCTAGGAAAACTGTGCGTTTTTTTTACCGTACGTAATAGGAATCTTACATTGATCGCAGACAGTGTGTTTTTAAGTACTTACAGTAGTGGTCGTAGGTAAAAATTGTTTCCTACACATACTCTAGACTATTATACAGCTTCACAAGAAGAAAAAATATATTCATGGAAAAAGATAGCAATATCATGTATGATAAATGTTTATCCAGTTCTTTACACAGCAGACTTAATCTGTCATAATCCTCCCGAATTTCTTTCCAGAAATGAAGACTTTTGTTCTGAAACTAATAAAAGTTGTAACTGTTTTTATATTTTCCTAGCGAGATAACCTACTGTTCTCTGGTTGCGGACAAGTCGTTCGGAAATTTGTTTAAATCTGAGAGCCAAAGCAATGCTGATCAAAATTATGAACAAATCATTTGTCAGCCATGTTAAAAAGCCGTGTATGTGTACTATCTGCAAAAAAAGTAATATTAAAACGTCATTTATTTACACTATGTATCATAATTGTAGTAACATTCATAAATGTATATACTTTGTGTAATATAATTAATCACTTACAAAGCAAAAAGTAGCTGACACGGCACTGAAAGGGATAAATCTGAACATCTGAGGAAACGATTTGAAATAATATTTATTAAAATTGTACTCATTTCCAGTGCTCTCTTTAATGGAAAGGGATTTATATACTGTATTTATTAAAAAATGACCTGAAAAATATTGAAAGCAAAAGTTTCTATAGGTACCTACAAAACGGGCTAAATTAAAAAAAATGTGTAACGATAAGCACTTTTGTCTTCAGTTTTCTGGAAAGGGTCTCACCGAGTTTCCACGTGAAATCTGCACTGGCGTGTTTTTTAACAATGGTGTCTTCAGTGTGTTGCTTATTGATAGAAATAACTTTTGACCAATTATCAGAGCTCTATCTTTGCTCATTTAAAAAAAAATGAAGTTGCAACCCTTAACTTCAAAATCATTTTTCTATAAAACTATGATAGATATTTGAATAAATCCAACGGCATATGAAAGCTACTGATAAGAATTATATTGCATATTTTTTTCATAGTTTTTCAACTATATAAACAGTGAGAAAAAAAATTGAAAAAATGAAGGGTGGTTATTTGTGGTTATTTGTCGAGACACACCAACCAAAAAAATCACGTATAATCAGTGAGTCTTACAGATGTTATATAAAAAGATATCGGTATCCGATTTTGTCATAATTAGTCTGAAAATTAAATCTTTATAGTAAGCCTGTAGACTCACAATGGTACGAATATTGTATCCCAATGTCACCTTGGAACAAATGGAACAAAATCAATTGCGCGTGCGCAAGCTAACAACTAATCCAGTCAAGCAGAGCTTAAGTTCTACATTGTTCATGGGTGAATGATTCGTTTCTATATTTTAAAAATAATTATAAATAAATATTAAATATGTGACCGAAGATTTTATTGTATGTTGAAAATTAAAAAAATCATTATTGTGAAGACTGGTTAAAATATTCGACATTACATATATGTACTTTTCACATCAATTGAAGCTATAATATGGCTAGAGAGTATAATATTCGGTTGGATATAATTTTGCATATTTTTTATTTTGTTAAAGCCTTTATATTATTGTAAAATGGAAGACAATAGCGGTATACAAAATAAATGTATTAACT